TTGAAGTCATATTAGGCATCGCGGCAAAAAAAGACAAAGGAAAAACGAAAGCACACAGACATGACTTTTCTTGGATTTAAATGCTCTGCACTCGTGTCGATGCATGCGGCTCCTTCACATTCAGAAATATGGGGAGAAAGGTCGAGCAAGCCAATCTGTCATCTCCCTTCAGGCTGTCGTCCACGTCGCTCCCGTGACGGCGGCAAAGCCGTGGCAACCATGTTTTGAGGGGCGCCGACCTCGTCTGCAAAGAGTCGAAAAGTTTACAGGCCAATAACTCTTTTCACTGAGGGAAGGCAGGGATTGATTTAGGGAAAAAGCATGGTTTGCTTGCTTGTCAATGGCTGATGTGCTGTTGCTAATGGACACATCCGGGTAGGATGCTGTGGCATCCCTGTGCTACGTACGTGTTTAAAGAAAGGCTTCAGGAAGTGCGTGAATGGAACGCCTCTCACTGATTTTTTGTAGCTTTTACGATGGATCACACAAAGTCGCCGAGATTTTACTGAGCATGAGAAGCATGCGGAGGGCAGTTCCAAGAGCAAGTGGAAATGGAGTAATGTGAGCTGTGTGCTTACTTCCTCTCCTGAAGAGGCGAGACAAGTATCAACTATGTGTAGACAAATAATATACGACATAATGAGACAGCATATAGTCATCACATTGTACTCCTTTTTTTGGTAAAAGTCTCACGTCTACTCTCGCGTAAAATTCCATCCTCCCAGAGGTACTTCATGTTAAGAGACATGGACGGCTCTTGCTGTATTTCATTTTCCCTTGTTACTTTCCGTATTCATTTTTCCTGCTTCCGGTCCCTCTTTATGAGAATTTCGCCTCTCTTGTTCGTAATAATCCTTAACCATCTCGTGTTCTTCTATCTTACGAAACAACGCCTTCAGCAAAGGGAAAGGGTCCAAAGATTCAGGCCCCACGATGGAAGTAGTGATCCATTGCAATATTGGGTATACTGCTAAATCGGCGATGGTCAAATGCTTGCCGACAAAAAAGCCCTCCTCATCTGCATGCAAGAGTCGTTCAAAAGCCGAGAAAAACCGAGGGTAGACATTTTTTTCCAATTTGTCCTTCAATGACGCCTTTTCGGACTCAGAAGCGAATAGGTAAGGAACAGTCGCTACTACAATGTCTTCCACACTGCCCACAACTTGATCAATAGCTAAGCCCGCAAGAGGATCCTCAGGGTACAGGCCTCCGAGCCTACCAACGTACCGCAAGATGCCAACGGACTGTGCGTACGCCACACTGTCAACTTCCAAGACAGGGACGCTCCCGAATGGATATTTGCCAGCTTTTGGGTGTTGAATTAGCGGGATGGGGGTACAAGGAATAGGGCCTGAATGAAAATTGCCCGTATCTACGCTCGTATGAAATGCGAGACGCGAAGTGCGATATTGCCCCCCAGAAAGTGCTTGTATTCGAGGTAGCTCGCCATTTCAATAAACCTTATCAAACAGTCTGGCTATCAGCGCTCATGCAACGTGGAGCTCTCATACTGCGAACGTACGTACCAGCTTTTTGCTGACTGAACTCCTGTTCAGTTATCCTGACATCTTCGAAAGGCACCTTACCCACGTGTAAGGCAACACGAATAGCTTCCGCTCGACCGCCAAAATCAAAATAGATGAGGCGTAGCGAGGGGAATGGTGCCATGCTGATTTTTATTTTTAGTGTTTGCCTGTGTGGTCTGGGGGCTTAAGCCAGGACGGTCTTGCAGGAAGAGGCTGAACGTTCTTCTATACACGCGTTGATACACTCCTACGTACATCCAAGGCACACAGCCACATGCGGGTAACTTAGAAAAGCTATTCTTACGCTTCGCAAACGGGGGATAGAAAAACATCAATAAAAAGTCCGCCGTGGCACATCGGCTTAAGAGCAAGGGGGGAGGTTGACAAAGCTTGTGATACTCCCTGGGCGATGTATCTCGGCCCGCACGAACAGAATATTGTTACACCGACAAAAAATCATTCTCCAATAAGAGCCACTGAAAGTATAAAAGCGAGAAACAGTGGCAACGATAAATCCGGTCAGCTACAGACTCTTTGTTTCTTGTTTAAATCAAGAAATGAGGGGCCTCGTTACTTTTCGATTTTTCCCGTGTTGCTCTGGAAATATCGGTCGCACCATTTGGACAAAATTGACAGCTTTACGCCTTTATGACTTTTTCTTTTGCCTGGCCTCGCTCAGCAATTCCTTGTATGATTTTGGCTTCCCCGCGGCCGGCGCGGGGACGTTCATCACGGTGAATTGTGACCCGGTGCTTGCTGCTGCCGCTTGGGCCTCCGCCAGCTCCTCCATTGCGTGCGGATGGTCTTCCAAATATTTTTCCACACTGCAATCGTAAGCTGTTTCGGTTTCCTTTCTCAAAACAGCCATGGTGTCATTCAGTACACTCTTTAACAAGCCGAGTTCCTCCCCCCGTAACGGCCCGCTCATTTTCCCAAAGGCCCCCGAGTGCTTCAACACCAAGGCCATCGTCCCTTGCAATTTCGCCCGATCCTCACTGCTCAGCTCCACCGTGTCTAAGGAGGGAGGCGGGGCGGAGGAAGGGGGAGAAGGAGGTGAAGGTGGTGGGGTGAGGGACGGGGAGGCGGGGACCGGGAAGGGAACGTCACGTACTGACTGCGGCCATGGCATGGCCCCAGGTCCCTGCACAGCCGCCGGGCCCGAGAAGGCTTCGGACAGAGGCGACGCGCCAGATTTCTGTGAGTACTCCGGGGCTTTTCCTCCCGAAGGCCCGTCCACTACGGCCAGAGCACGTCTCAAGAGAACCTGCAAGCGGGGCACCTCCCGTCCAGCGGCCAAGGCACCCTCTTCGTCCGCACCCAGCCCCGCTAGGGCCTGCAGACTTGCCGCTGTCGCCAGCAACACCTCCCTTTCCTCCCTCTCCACCAGGAACCCCTGCACTGGAACGCCTGGACCCTCTTCCTCCGAGTAGGCTGGGCGGGAGCCCAAGCGCCGGCCCTCCCGTTCCAGCATGGCGCCCACGGAAGTCAGGAGGGACTCGAGCCGGTCCAAATCTTGGCCTTGTAAGCGTTCCCCCGTGGCCTTGTGGGCGGTCAAGTAGGCTCCCAGCTGGGTCATAGAGCTCTCTATGCCCATTTGGGCGAGCGCGGGGGGGGAGGGGCCGCGGGAGGGAGGGAACGGGGGAGGAGGGGAGGGAATTTGTGCGGGGGAAGGCGTGTAAGAATGAGGGGAGGCGTAGGCAGAAGGAGGAGTCGTCGAGGGCGGGGGCAGGGGAGGAGGATCCTCCC